CCCTCCCCCTCTCTCTCTATATCTCTTATATTCTCTCTCTCACTCTCACTATACCTTTCACCATCTCTCTCATTCATCCCCCTCTCTCTATCCCACTCTCTCTCACACTCTCTCTCTCGTCCCTAGGCCAACCAACAAGCCCTCCAAAATCCCTCAGTCAACATGCCACAGCCGGGGCAGACCATGGGACAGCCTACAGCCCAGACATCCACCAACCGCCCAGCTAGCAACAGCTTCCTCGACAACTTCACTGGAGGAGCCCAAACCGCCATCACCACAGGCCAGAACAACGTCAACAACGTGAACAACTTAGTACAACCACCAACGGCGCCAACCAATCAAAACACGCAAGGATTCTTCAGCGCCAGCAAAAATGACCCACTTTCTGGCTCTATAGCCAATCAGGTCGACTCTTTCGCCAGCGCCAACCCGTACAGCGTAGCAGCAGCGCAGCAAAACGTCTACAGCAAACTCCAACCCACCTCCCTCCCCAACCGTCCACAGTACATCCCAAACACAAACTTCCCCCAACAACCCCTCGCACCCTCTCCACAATTCAGTAACGTCGCTCCAAGATTTCAGCCAATCAACAAGAACGTAAACTACAACGCCCCGCCCAATCTGCCCTCGCTCAGCCAACCACGTCAGCCCGCGGGCGCGTTCTACCCACAAAGGCCAATGGTTGCTGCAGGAGTTCCCAGCCCCTACCAGACGGCCACTCGCTACCCGTCTCTCTACAGCGCACAGCAAGCCAGCTGGCAGCGGCAGACAGCCAATCAGAGACAAGCTGGCCCTATGGATCAATATATGATGTACCACATGTTCCAGACGGCCGCATAATTAGACAAACCCTCTCCCTCCAACCTCGTGTATTAGATTATATTCATTTTTTTTTTTTAATTCCCGTGACATGGGCTATAAATAGACTCGTTCTAAGACATTTTAAATTGAACATCAGAACCGTCAATTTTATCATTTTGGACATGGCCAAGAAAGTCTGAAATAATATATATTTTCGCTTTATAGTTATGGTAAAACTGTCAAAGTGAAACTTCTTTTTAAAAAATGACACCTAACAGAAAATCATTTCTGATAACAGCTGTGGACAAGGGCAAATTAAAAAAAAAACCCCAACAACAGCCCGTTAACAGAACAAAAAGGAAAAAAAAGAAACAGCATGAAGAACAAAACGGGAACAAAACACACAGGAAACAGTTAAAACTAGTAAGAACAATCCTCGACGTCAGGGAAATATTTCAAACTTATTTGCTATATCAGTCCTGCCGCTACAACCAATTGACAATCAGAACTGTTTGTTTTAATCCCCCCCCCCCCCCCCACACACACACACACACACATACACACACCCCGCCCCACCCCAAAATACAGGAACATAGAGAACAAAATTAATAAAGCTCCATCAAAATTCAGAAAGTTCTTATAGCTGTAAGTCCTGCGTAGAATATCACCCCGAATCACACTTGACGTCCTTGTGTATGGTAGGCCGTCTGATTCCAGCAGGATATTCTCGTCACCATTCGAAAATACTGCTGACTCACTATCCTATGGGGATTTTTCTTTCTTTTTTTTAAAAGATTTTTTTTTCTCAAGAAAAGTAAACGCGTCAGTTCATTTAACCAAGTTATAAATTGTAGTATATTATCATCCCAGGGTTAGCTGTGATTTGTCTCTTTGTTACATAAGCCACTGACAATAGTGCGTGCAACTTGTCAGGGTTTTATTTTCGGTAGTTTTTTTTTTTTTTTTTTTTTTTTTAGTTCTTGGATTGTTGTTTTGTTTTTGTTCGTGTGTTTGTTTTGAAGGCGGTGTGGTATTTTTTTTTTGGGGGGGGGGACAAGATGGCCTAGACAATAACGTCTTTGGCGCCACGTTAGCTTAGTTGGTATCATGCTGGCTACCAAGCGGACATCCGTGGTTCGAATCCCCAACAGGGCGTTCTTGAACTCAGGTTGTTTTATGGTGTTTTCAAAGCTCTCAACACAATTAGCTTAGTTTTGATCAGAGATGGACGTTAAATCTGGATGTCTTTCCCCTTAGAGAACCTAACTGTGTTGAAAGGATTGTCTTACACTTAAACATGATATCTTTTTAAAAATTACACCACAGCCAACAGATTTCGTAGATTAATTTTCACAAAGAATCAAAGGTTAAAAGGTGATCAAGTTATGGGAAAGAATCCTTTTGATTTCGGAATGAAATGACGGTGCAAACAGGAACCTACTAAGGAAAACATACCTACGCCTATGTGATTGGTTAAGCTACTTGTAAAATCATAGTCATTGATTGGTTGTGAATTGGTCTATCTACCTGTAAAGTTATAGTAATTTGTTCGTATGTCAAACTGATTTATAACGCTTCCTGTAACATTATAGACATTATCAGCGAGGCATTGTGGTGAAATCAGGCACTCGTCAAAATAACCAAATCAAAGAAATCTGGATTTTGCTTTTCGAATTTTTTTGTTGTTGTCTCAACACCTTTTATGTCCATTTATGAAAACATGCATGTGTGATGCTGAAAACATTGATAAAAGGCAAACAAATCTAAATTTGAAATTTCTAAGAACTCTCAAGCTTTGGAAGTAACCAAACTTGGGCGGCCATTTTCTCGCTAATTTTACCCCTGACACCAGGCGGCCCCCACCTCCTTTGATTGCAAATATTTAAACGCCTGTCCTAAATAGACAGGCAGCTTTTCTCCATTGAAAGCAATACAGATGAACAAGCTTTAATATGATGATACCAATAACTCCACCCCACCCCACCCCAGCCCACCCCCCTCAAATGACTGACTCTTGATTCCACGACGATGCGACAAATGAGCTAAGTGATTGGTTTATAACTACTTGTAAAATCATAGAGATTTTGTTGTTGTTTTTCTGAACTCGTACTAAGTGGTCTGCTTTCGAGGTTGCTCGTTTCGTATGACACAAGAACACTGTGTTAGTTGAAACCTTTTGTATCAATTGTTTCATATAATATCAATAAACGATATTATTTGATTCTTTTCATTTTGACTCCTACTTTTCGTAATGTGTTATTGCGTGTTACTTCAATGTCGTTCATGAACAAAATACTTGCATAGTTCAGACTTTGCTTTATGTTTGCATAATATAGGCCTGTTAGTTTAAGTGACAATCATTAAACGTCATTGTTCAAAATGATTCCTCAAGTCAGTGACCGTTTATTACTCTCTGGAAAATTAGTACGCAGATCTAATGTAGTGGACACTTCTGGAAGTAAACTCTCGTGTAAGGTACGTTCTTCTTTAGACAGTCTACTCCGAAGGCCTATAGTAGGAAAAGGGACATAACTCCCCCCCCCCCCGGTTCGATGTTTTATATTTTCATTTTGTGAAGTCTAGCTATACATTCAAGTATTTGGGAACGGTATCTCTGTTATCTGAGTATGATTAGCGATGTTTTAAAAACTTCTTTTTTTTTCTTTCAAGAAGACATTAACTACTTATAACATTAATTTCTTTACCAACGTTTCTGTTCTCTGTTTAATCTAGTAGTGATAATAAATTACTGTTTATGACATACACGGAGTTGTGTTGGCATTACACTACCGAGGAAATAAATCCTTATGTATCACAAGTATAATATAATAAGAAGATATTTCACGCTGTCATCAAAATCTGCATAAACTACTCCGCACACTCTATTATTATTCGCCTTCAAACCTTGTGTAAATAAACTGTAGACTTGAATTATAATAATACTAGACCCTACAACGCTGTGGCAGCAGTTGTTTTTTTTTACCTTCTATAAAAAGTTTACTTGCGGAGTTCTTTATCTTCTATAAAAAGTTTACTGGCACAGTTTACCTTCTATAAAAAGTTTACTGGCACAGTTCTTTATCATCTATATAAAGTTTACTGGCACAGTTTACCTTCTATAAAAAGTTTACTGGCACAGTTCTTTATCATCTATATAAAGTTTACTGGCACAGTTTACCTTCTATAAAAAGTTTACTAGCACAGTTCTTTATCATCTATACAAAGTTTACTGGCACAGTTCACCTTCTATAAAAAGTTTACTGGCACAGTTCTTTATCATCTATATAAAGTTTACTGGCACAGTTCACCTTCTATAAAAAGTTTACTGGCACAGTTCACCTTCTATAGAAAGTTTACTGGCTCAGTTCACCTTCTATAGAAAGTTTACTTGCGGAGTTCTTTATCTTCTATAAAAAGTTTACTGGCACAGTTCTTTATCTTCTATATAAAGTTTACTGGCACAATTCATCTTCTATAAAAAAAATTACTTGCGAAGCTCACTCTCCATGGGTGTCCAAACGAAGTGCCAAACACCACCTTCTCCGTTTCTTCTTTCCTTTCAAACATCTATCGTCCTTATCTCCCCTTCTTCTTTTTTATGTTTGTTACTCTCTTGTAACACCTCTAACCTTATGCGGTCCTATCGGAGACAGACGTTAAACTAGGAGGTCCCGCCCCTTAAATAACCTGATAGTGTTGATAAGGGCGTTAAACCCATACCATAATACCCTATAATCTTCTGGCGCTCATATGACCTTAATGCAGTTGCAAGCGCCGTAAAACGTCTACTAAATCAGTTTTGCTATAGTCGAGAGTACGCTCAACTTTTTAAATGTTCCCCTTAATCTTATTCCAAACGGAGTCAAATGGAGCGTACGCTAGTGAACCTTTGTTACGTCAGGATGCAATTACACAAGTCTATAAGCAAACGACTCCTATCCTTTGGTTTGTTTTGATTGCGAAGTTTAGAGTTAAAGTCAACACTATCATGACACCATGACATAAAAATGCAGTTTTTTAAAAATCTTTCAACCTTTGAATGGTACGTTTTCTGTTTGGTTTTGTCTATGTTTATGTTATCATTGTTTTGTTTGGGGTTTATTTCACGGCCTGAGACATACGGATAGCACAACAAGTCTATGCATCAAGTGGGGCTAAAAATTAAAGTAAAAATCCATATTTTTTTCCGAATCCTCATCTTGACTCCGATGGGCTTGCAAATTTATTTTCATGTTAGACTCATGAGTGAGGCCACTTCAACATTTGACTGGTTATTATTGACTTTTTTCGTCTATATCTTTTCCGTTAGCTGATAATATCAGTAAGACTTTAAAAAAAAATGTTACATGAGTTATGGTGGCAGATTATGATCAATCCTAGGAGTGAAATTGTGTGTTGCAATCACTCGTTGAAACTCGCGATTACTGCTTGGCAATTGGTCGTTTTTTAAGCACAAGGGGGCTATCCAGAAAAAAATGCTGTTTTGAGAAAATCGAAGGTGGAGTTTTTGCCCCTTGTTCAGTTTCTTTAAAAGACAAGGAGAGTTTTCTCTATAACCAAACAAATATACATATCAATGAAACCAAACTTCTCCTATGGATAGGTTAATGCCCACTTTTGGTGTAGATCAAGATTTCTGGAAACCCCCCAAAATCTGGGATAGCTCGCTTGTCCTTTAAAGCGACCAATTTCACTCCTAGGATTAATCATAATCCACCACCATAACCCATGAAGTAACAAATTCTTGTTCCCTAACAGTGACCCTTGCCACTGTGTTGACAGTGCATGGCGAAAGGCTAAAGCTGGCATTCCATATGCCCGAAAAACCGTTGCGAACTTCGGTTGCGGTACGAAATCCGGGTGCGATGAAAAAAGAGCCCTCCTTCCATATTCCCGAAATTCATATCCGTCATTTCTCATTGAAATCACGGCACCAGTTAAGTCAGAGCAAGGTGACAAAAAGGTCTATACAGCCTGCCTCCTAAATTTTCTGATGAATGGTGGTGGATACCCAGATCAGTCACTACATCAGAAATATCAGTAAAAGTAACACCCCCCCCCAAAAAAAACACACCAAAAAACAAAAAAAAAACCAAACAAACATATTTTATAAGCAAATTACGTCCACGTCTTGGAGGCGGCTCAATTGTCGCTTGAAAAGACAAGCACACTAACCCAGATTTCGGGGGTTTCCAGAAATGTTGACCAACACCAACAGTGGGCATTACTCTGCCTGTAGGAGGAGTTTGGCTGGTTTCATCTGTATGTATATTTGTTTGATCACAAGGAAAACTCCTTGTCTTTTAAAGAAACAGAACAATGGGCAA